AATTAAATCTTAACAAAATGTGCTGAAAAGAGTAACGAGAATTTTAAAAACAAAATCTTTTTTTTAATCGATTTTTAGGAAGAAACAAAACTAAAATGATTCAGATAGATGTATAGGACTTGTTAAACGAAGTGATAGTGTAATGAACCATCAAGTAATTAACAAAAAATTGCTGTTTTATGCTCTACACCCGTTTTCTTTTCTGATACAAGACCAAGCTGTCTTGTTCTTCAATTCCCCATGAAAATAATAGAGGTACTTTTCATGTTTCAGGATTTTTTTCTCCAAATTTTGAAAAAATATATCCATCTTGATTGCTAAAAATACTATATTGACAACACGTGGTGGTATAATCTTTAGGGGCTGCTAAAGAGATGTTTCATTCGCCAAATGCTTGGCGATGGATCCATTCTTTTCTTTTTCTCGAAATTTTCATTTTGGACGCGAGCACTTGATTTCATGTCAGGACTGATTCGCCAAATGCTTGGCGATGGACATTTGTTAAAATTCAAGAGTCCCCACTTCAAAGATCTATTCATAACAATACATTTTCCCCTTTGACACATTGATGGATCATATCTATTGTTATGACCCTCTACCCCACCTTCAGGTTGGAAAATCCTAGGATGGACAGAGCACAGCCCATCCTACTGGCCAGTTCAAAATGTACAACACGCATGCGTACCAGCAGGTGCAAAAGATTCAACTAGTTTAATAACTTTGAATTTATTACTAACAGTAAGTCTTAACAATCAATACGAGACCTTGCTATTAGACTTTTCAACGTTCTTGCCATGGCTGAAGACCTTAATAATCAGGATGATTATTATTGCTTAGACCTTCTAGACTGGTTTATTGCTAGATCTTCATATAAATATTTTACCGTTGACGAAAAACGCTTTCTTCTTTCATATAGAGATAAAGCTAATAACATTAGAGATACTACTTTTAATGGCATATTGCATCATATGTATTTCAATGTTGTATATAATAAAGGGGAGACTATTAACATTGTCCTAAAAGTGATTAAGGAACTTAAATTGGATCTCTGGACTATGTTCGAGGAAAAATTTCCATCTGAGGAAATCGACTTTTCTCAGGGTAGTCTCGAAAGAAATTTCATAGCATTCATCAGAATAACAGAAGCAGGAGCCTCAAACAGAACAACAATAATAGAACCCCTGTTTCTTCGGTCCTACTTTGACGAGTAAGTTTTTATTTTTATTACTTTTCTGCTTAAATTTTTTTGACTTGTTTGTGTTTTACCCTTTATTGAAATAATTAGCGTCATTATCTAAATCTAGTTTTATGATTTTAAGATTCATAGCGCTGAATACTAAGAAATATAATTTCAAGACCAGTAGTAGATTTAATATAATAATTTTAAAATAAATGCAGAGCTAGTGCAACTTTTAAATCTTTTTAAAGCTATAATTAACGAAAATTGCACTAAATTCTTAATATTAAAATTTGAAAACACCCCTTACCATAACATTAGGGTGTAGTGCATTTGCTTATTAATCTTAGTTTATTATCATTGTTTTTAGAATGTCTCTGATTCCTTAATATATTCTGGAACAAACAATTCTCAATATTTGACAGCAGACACTTGCTTCCTTGTAATTTTTTTACCCATTTGTTTTTTGCTTTTTTTTAATCAAAGTAACGTTATACTTTATGAGACAAAACTCCTTATTTTCATATTTATTTTTAATTTTCTGCTTTAATTTCACTTATTCTCGAGTAATTTTTTTTTTTACATATTCTCTTTATAGATGCATGATAGGCATAGTTTTTTTAAACTTCTTTGTCTTTCTTTCACCCGACTATTTTAATTCAAAATAATCATTTTCGTATTCTATCAAACAAAATACATAATTTTCAGATTTCTTTTTTTATATATATGTATTGTAGAGATTTTTTAAGCTCCTTTTTCTTCACCCACTTTTTTTCATTCAAAATAATATTTTTTTATTTTATCATTCAAAATTTTCTGATTTTTTTTTAAAAAAACTAAGTAAATGCATTGTACAGATTAATTCCTAAACTTCTTTTTCATTATTTTGCCCATTAGTATTAGTTCAGGATTACAATTTTGTATTTTATCAAACAAAATTCATATTTATTAGGTGTTATTACAATTTTATATATTTTTACATTTACCTATTTTCTATTTATACGTAAATATGTCGTAGATTTTAATTATTAGCTTCTTCATCTTTTGTAACTAATATCTCTCAGATTGAAATAATATTTTTTTGTATTTCATCAAACAAAATTTCTAATTTTCTGAATTTCTTTGTCTATATTTGTTTTCATTTTTTAATTTTTTATTCTTGTCTTATTATTTCGCATTATCTCTAAAGATGTGTCGTAGATGTCTTTCTCATGCTACATCGTTCCTTCACCCATTTGTTTTAATTCAGAGAAATATATATGTTTTTTAGCAAATAAAATTCATTAGTTTAAGATTTTTTGCGCTTATTTTTTATATTTTGCCCTTTTTTTTTGCATCTTTTATAAGCGATTTAGCGTGTTGTATATTCATCTATAGCTAAAGCAAGTGCTTCACGTTTATTGTTTGGCGTCATTGGGGCATTAGAGAACCATTGTTTTTTTTAAAACTTTTCAAGAGATTCATTTTTATGTTCTTTTTCCTTTGATTGTCCATTTATTTTAATTTAAAATAATAATTTTGAACTTTATCATACAAAATTGGTAATTTTTAATTTTTCTTCTTTTTATAATATTTTTTTTAAAAAAAAAATTTCCGTAGATTTATTGTAGCAGTTCTGCTTATGCCTAAAATATTGTCTAAATTCAAATTAGTATTTTCCCTTTCCGAAAAAAAATATTTATCGGCCATTTTTAGAGAAAAACATGTTCACATTGAGTCAAAAAATCCAAGAAATAAATTAATGGATTCTGCACAAAATTTTAACGTTGTTAAAGATTTCTATCTGATCTAAAATGCTTTTCTTACATTATGTATCGAAACAATGTACGTGATATTGTAACTGATTTTTGAGTTCAAGTTATTGACATGCTGTTCTTGAGTTTTATTTCACTGAATATACAGATAGTTGGGCTTTACATAGACTTTTTTTTTCTTTTTCCTTTATATTTTATGTCGGGATATTATATTTTATATCAGATTGTCTTGCTGATGTATGTTTTATGGTTCCGAAAATATTTTCCTCATGTTTGATATTACAAAGATAATTTAAAATTTAACTAACATAAAACACATATTCTACATATCAAACCCAAATTGCCGCTGTGAGTGTAGGTTTTCAATTTTAAGTGTAGACTTTCAATTGACTAATTCTGGTTGCTTTTTTAAACCGAGTAAGTTTTTCTAAATGGAATATACAGTTATTGTTTTATATTTTACTCAAAGAACATTAGGGGTACAAAAATAAATTGGACAAACAATTCTTTATATAACTTTATAAAAGATAAATAAATTGTCATTATAGCAAATAATAATAAGAGCATGCTTCTTATAAATAATAAATTTTAATTTGTTATAAAGTAGCCAGATTTTGCAGTGATGTCGAATCATTATCCCATTCCAACAGAAGCGATTGCCTTAGAAAGACAAATTTTTAATGTAGAACGATTGTATAGAGACCAGACGTACAATTTCAAACAGTTGTTTTCTTGCCTAAACAACTTTAAAATAGCGGTTCCTTTGCTTGTTTTTGTAAAAGGTAAAAAAAATTAATAATAATAATTGCGTACACTAGGCAATAAGTAAAAAATTAATAAGTATAATTGCGTATACTATTAGGTATTTTATAATTTGTGTGGGAAAAGCTTACAAAAAGAGAAAGGAAGCCAAAAATTAAAAAGAGATTAGTTAATTTCTATTCTGTGATGCAATTTCTTTGTTCGAGTATATACAATATATCTTATGTATAATATATACGATTTATAATTTCTTCAACCCGTAAAGTTAGTAAAAATTATGGAATTATCAAGATAGCTTTTTTTCAAATATTCCACGAATATTTTTTTTTTCCTTAAGAAAAAATTAAATTTTTCTTCCTGTATATATACATATATATACACTGGTGTGCGAAACTTAAGCAACCAGTGGCGTACGCAAGGGAGGGGCTTAGGGGTTTAAACACCCCCCTTGAACTCAGACAAAATGGCAAAAATAAAAATTTTAGTAGAAATTACGCGAGCTATTATTTTTTAAGACAATATATTTTTATCTGCCTTATGCCTACTTTTTTTTTCTCACGGTATTTCTCAGAATACTGAAAAAACATTTACTATAATAGGGTTGTGCTTTCGAAACCAAATTCAAGTGATACTGTTACGGACTGGTTCCTTTCTGTCCTGCCAGTATAGTTTTGGAGACTGGCTGTCATTCGCGAGATCTTTACGCAATGATTTTGGAATCCTAGACGTTCTGTCGTCTTTGAGATAATTCGAGAAATTTGGAGATGCGGTGAAAAATTATATAAAAGGGGGAACGGAATACAGTGGATGATGTAATATCAAATGATTAGGGGCCCCCTTAAAATGGATTTTTTTTTTGAAAATAAATTTTAAAAAATTAAGAAAAACAATGATTTTTTTTAAAAAAATCTATTTTAAATATATATTAAAATTTTTTCAAAATGTTATGATTGAAATTTAGTTAACAAAATAAAGATTAAATAATAAATTAATTTAACAAAATAAAGTAAAATTCAATTTATTATTATTCATTTTAATTTTAAACATGCTTTCTGAAATGAAAAGATATATAGCATTTATTTCTGTGCCAATATATATATTTACTGTTCTTGGATCTTTAGGATGTCAAAACGTAAGAATTTAACAATTTTTAATTATTTTGAGAAAAAATCACGAATGAAAATCACTGAAATTAGTAAGGTGACAGCATCTAGTATCAATGAAAGTTTTTCTGTTGTACAGAAATGTGATACTTCCGTTGAAGAAAACGTTTCTAGCATAACAAAATCTGATGAATGTGAAAGTGGCCCTCAAAGTGTTACTTCCCACCCATATGACATTGGACTTTTTTCAGAAGATATTACATTATGTTCTTAAACTTAAGAAATCAAATCAAAATTTAACCAAACAATGTTGTCTAAATAAAAAGTCAAAATTGTCTAGCTGTCTAAATTAGGGAAATAATAGTGCTTTATTACAGTCTCGAATTTCTTTTAGTAGTTTCAGAAAATTATGAACATCCCCCTAGAAAAAATTCTGCGTACGCCACTGTAAGCAACAAGTGGTTTTTTGGCCAAAGCTCCCCAACAAAGTGTAAGATAGCCATGTAATTGCAGTATAATATGCATGTAATTCAATAGAAAGATTATTTGTATGCAAATTTTAGAAATAAAACGTCGTAGGTGATGTAAGTGTACGTAAACCTTGTGGGTCGGCGCGCGCNAAGTGCATATTGCATGCGTGTATTATACGCGGAAATAAATATGCCCTTTGACTGTCCTAAGTCCATTAACTTTATAATTTGACAATGTTCTTCCAGGTAAAGTACCGTAAATTTACGTTATAATTGCGTAAGTTTAGCATATTAGAGTGTTTTTACTGGCAGAGTTCGTTTACAAACACAATGTTTAAATCTGAAACCAAACTATTAGTATTAGTGGATATATCAATTCCTGCTTTCTGTCGCTCACCAACTCTTAAAGATTGTCTCGCGATTACTCGCCAACAAGATCGGTGCATTTGAAGTGTGGCTTGATATAAAATAGTCCGATATTGTCTAAAAACCTCAATTGTTTTGTTCTATTTCAGCCCTAAACTTTAATATGCAGCAAAATGGAGAAAAAACAATAATTCTAGCAACTCCTCCATATATAAATCCAAATTAAATCGACGTCACAGAAATAATTGCAGAAATCATATTGTAACAAAATTGTCTGCAAAAATAATGACTAAAATTAAAATGTCATTAGGCGAACACTCTAACTACACATTCAATTCCATACTAAAAAAATCTCAAATCTGTATATATGCATATAATGACGGAATTTATGTTTAAAAATTATTTTACGGACTCAAATAAATGCTGATTAGTAGCTCAACGTGAGTGATTTCCTGACATTGTTGCAGGAACGGAACATGCTAAAATGACCATGTATACAAAAAAGTACTACTATAGTTGACTGTTGCTCACGTTTTTTATCTGCAAGGCAGTTTCGATAAAGGTTGAAAAAGACATTTTTAAGAAACAATCAGTCTTAATTTATTTATAAATTACCACCATAATACCATGATTTCAAAAATATTTCGCTTACATTTTTTTAACTTTCATTTTTACTCTATTACCTTGTTACTCAGTTTTTAACCTATATAACCTGAAAAAACCTTAAATTACAGATTATTTTAATTCATGTCAAAATATGTATTATATTCAATTAATAAGTTTAAATTCAAAGACGTTTAATAAATTTTAATTTAATAATTGCAATGTTAATGTTTAATATAAATATTTACTAGTTAAATAAAGTAATATAGTAACTTGGCTTACATTTTAGATTTATTGATGTTATTGTACGAATCTTCATAGTATGATGATTTATTACAAAATTAATTTTCATTTAAATCTTACCAATTGTAGACTTTTCATCAAAATATCCAAAAGAAAGCCAAAAGAATATATATATATATATATATATATATATACTTAAACTACACTTTAATTTGTTAATTTTTCAGTATTCATTAACTTTAAAAATTTCTTTCATAACATGCAATATACATTAAATTCTAGAATTAAGAGACAAATTTTTGAAAAAAATATTTTTTTTTCCTCCTAAAAAATATTTAAAATGACAATTGAAAATAATGGTTTAAGAAGTCTTATATTATATACTTTTTAAATAGAGAATTTTTTGGTATTCATTTTATTTTTTGTTTTATGTTATTGGCAATTAGCATAATGTTTCAAAAATTCAGATTAATGAAAGTTTAATTCTCTCAAAAATGTGCATGCGTTGCCACCCCAGAAAGAAACATTCTTAACTTCCTAAATATTTCTTCCATCCATATCAAATCAATTTTTTTGTTTAAGTACTGTCAGAACACAAAGTCCATAAAAAGTTAATTTCAGAAATAACGCGAAAATTACCCAGTGCATAGCTTCAATGAAATATTTCTAATATATAAAAAGTATGAGAGAATTGGCAAGTTTCCGATCTTCAAGAAATTTGGCAGGATTCGATGATTTTTAGATTGATTCCGAGAAAAGTGGCTGATCAACTGTTTCCCTTCTATTTCAAAGATAATCCGTACATTTTAGCATATTGGAGATTACCTCATTATGATTAGTACTGAGTTCGAGGAAAGAGGATGTCTTAAACGAAAGTCATTCATGTTGTTATCCTGTACTACACAGTGAAGAAAACTAATCTCCCTGAATTACTTTTGGTTAAAAGGAGGGTTATTAAATATGTTAAATACTATATCAATATTTTTCTTAGTTGAACTACAAGATCAGACACAAAAATGAATTGCTTCTGAAAAAAAAAACTTTTATTTCGGATTCTTGACTTTGAAATACATTGAGTACCTATCATCTGAGATATATTGTCCTAATAGTTCAGTTGTTAAAATATCACATTTTGAGATTTTTATTCTATATCTAGATATTTTAGGAAATTTTTGTTATTTTATTCTATTTCTAAAAATTGAATTGGAGGCACTCCTGTCGAAATTATTGGGGCCAAATTTTAGGAATTCCTCTCCATTTTGACTTTTCTTACTTTAATTAAGAATTCAGATCCCCATGAAGCAGAACCAACTATAATTTCGTGTTGGCAATCACTTTTAAAATGTATTGAAACACAGTAACGTTTCTTACACGCGTTTCAACAATTGAATAAGAGTCTATTTATTTACACTTTTTTTTTTACTTTTTAGGTTTTTTTATGATGAAGAAGGCTACGATACGTGGGTGGATAATTGGGATGATATGTCAAGAAATCCTCTCAACTTCCGTGCAATTCAGCTTCTGCATCTTTCTGTGTGGTTCACTTATCTCGATGAATCTGAATTGACTGAAATGGCCGTGAGAGTACTCTGGAGCTCTATCCCAGATGCCCTTCTGACCAAGGCCGATATTTTTAGACTTTTTAAGGGGATCAATCCTAGATACTATCAGAAGATAAATGACATATGGCAATGGTACTGCAATCTAATAAATTATGAGGAAACTTCTGATAAGCGTCCAAGATCTCTGAAACACCTTTCAAGATGCATCATCAGAAACAGATTAAGAGACAACTTTAAGTTGCCCGAAGGAGTGGAAGAGCTGGATGTTCCCAAACAAGTCCAGAAGTATTTACTTCTAAAAGATTTCTACAAGATATATTGAATACTTTAACTTGGAATCATTTATTCAAATTATTTCATGAAAGATGTGAAGGACTAATCTCGAAAGGATTTGAATGTTTTAATTATGATTTTTCCATGTGTTATTTATTCCTATGAACACTCTTTGCGCTATTAGTTTCACTGTTGTGCGATTGGGTTTTGTGTGCGACTTTCAAATAAAAAAAAATTATTGATTGCTTCTTTTATTTTTAGTTTAATTGAAGTATGTACAGGATATCTGCCACATTTTAGATTTTCAAATTTATGACTTTCCATGACTATTTCCAAGAATTTTTCATGACTTAAAGAAGTTACTATTTTCTCCGACAACAACACAACAATACATTTAAAAAAAGCATTATAATAACATTAATTGAAATGATGGGTATAACAAAAACTGTCAAACACTGCATCTTCATATTTATAGACTTTACATTTCAAAAAACAGAGTAAAGAAAGAGTTGGAGCAATAAACTAGCTGGAAAAAAACACAAAGGAAAATATTTCATTTTTTTCTGCGGAATTATATTCTAAAGATACTTTTCTTGTTCATCGGAAAGGGAGGAAATACTTCTCATTTTTCAGTTCTCATTTCGGAATTTAAAAAAAAAATTCACCAATGACTGGCTTGCTTTTCAGCTGGAATTTTAAATTGATAAAATAAAAAATAAAAATAAAAATAACAAAAATCCTGAAATAACAGAAGTTTAAAAGATTATTCGCTCTAGAAATGTTTTTTCTTCCATTTTTTGAAATAACACCATAATTTTTAAAGAACATGATAAAAAACACTTTGTCTTTCAATAAAATATGACTGTGAGTGGAGATTTTGTTACAAATTCAGATATTCGGAATTGGAGGGGGGGGGGGTAAATTCCATTTCAAAATTACCGAAATACTTGACTTTCCAGAAGCGTGGATACCCTGTAACAATCAAAATTTATAAGTTTCTCATGAAACAAAACAGACAAAAAGCCAAATGTGCACCTTGATGAAACCATATCCAGTAGCAAAGCAGATGCATCCAAACATAAAAATTGGCAAATCTAAGTTTGCTGTACTACGACCTATCTATATTTTATGCGTAGATAAAATGTGTATGTGCTATTTACGAAAATGTGAATTTGCTCTTAAAATCACAGTTGTTTGCCTAATAATTACATGGAATTACTAAATATGGCGACTTGCGACAATTGAATTTTTTATTTTATAACCGTCGTTTAACAGCCAACCCAAATTCGAGCTTATGGCTACCAATGCTCAACTCCGTAGACTTGTAATTTTGAACCCAATTGAAAAGACAAGAGAACTCCTCGATTAGTTCCCCAGAGGTACTGATTTGTAGTGGAAATTTGGAGGACTTTGTGACCCGACATATTTAATGTGAGAAAGTTACCATTTAAAACACAGCGATTCCTTTGATGCTGCAATAGATAGCTTTGCAAGTGTAAAAAGTTCTAGGAAAAAATTGGGTAGTTAATTTAGCTACCCAAGTAACTGAAATTAAGAAAGAAAGAAACAATGCACTTGTTTTTTTGCTTTTTAACACAGTCTGGTAAAGTAATATAAACTTTTAAATATAACTACAAAGATATAGCATGGGTTTCAATTATAGCAGTGCTGCCAACTCCTACTTTAAATAACCGAAGAGTCATCAGAACTACAAAGATATATCAGTGGTATTTCACTGTTAAAGCTTTTTGTCACATTTGTAAGACTTCCTCTTTGTTACGATGCATTATTTGGATTTACAAAAAATATGTTTGCTATTTTAAAAATCTTACGATAATTTATTTTACCTTGAAATGGGATAATTTTTAAAAAAAGTAACAGATAATGTTTAGGATGGTCCAAATCACAGAATTTAGCATAAATTACAGTGCATGTCAAAAATGTAGGATTTTATTTGTCCCCTCTGTTACAAGTACTTTTAATTAACTGTAATTTAGTTATGAGGCTCTTTTATTGCTTTATGCCAATTAATTATACATTGCTCTCCTAAAGTAGCATATTTTAGTAGAATTTTTGGTTTCAAAAATATTTAAAGTATTTTTTAGAATTAAATACTTGTGTGATTTCCCCTCTGTTACGCTAGGAGAATTCTACAAATACTTTAGCCTAAATATTAATTTGAGGCAATAAAATACATTAAAAGAGACGGTGAACCGTATGGTCCAACCTTCATATATATTTCTGAACACTTTTTAAAGGACGATATACACTTACACGACACAAAACAGGTTTTAAATTCATAAGCAGTAGAAATAATTAAAACTGCAATTGATACACCTTTATCTAGTAAATTATTATCTATTATTTATTTTATGAATCTTAACCGCAAAAAAAATCTGCAGAGAAAGTTAGAATAGAACAGAACACTATCCAGTGTTACACTATCATCCAAGGTAGCAAAAAGATATGATCTAATATTAGAAAGATGCAATGTAATACTGTTGTGCTAGAATATTTATTTTATAAATCTTAACCATAAAAAAAATCTGCAAAGAAAGTTAGAATAGAACGAAACACTATCCAGTGTTGCACTATCATCCAAGGTAGCAAAAAGATATGGTCTAATATTAGAAAGATGCAATGTAATACTGTCGTGCTAGAATATTTATTTTATAAGTCTTAACCATAAAGAAAATCTGCAAAGAAAGTCGGAATAGATCAAAACACTATCCAGTGTTACACTATCATCCAAGGTAGCAAAAAGATATGATCTAATATTAGAAAGATGCAATGCAATACTGTCGTGCTACAAAACGCAAGACTAATATTGCATAGGATTAAATAGTGTTGGATCTAACATTCGAACTTTTAAAATTATCATCTATTTCATTACTTTTGGTACAGCACCACATTTTTGCGAAAGGGCATCCCATGTTTTTAATAAATAAACATTTATTTATTAAAGAAAACAATAAATTAAATATTATTTAAAATATCATTTTTAGCTAATGCATTTTTATGCCAGAAAACGCAAGATAATATTAGTGACAGTTCGCGAACGATACAACTCAAGTGTTGAGTTGTAACTTCATGATTGTTTACAATCGCCATATTGTTTGAGAGTCGTCCGCCAACTTGAATTATTCATTTAAGTACGGAAGGTATTTATGATTTAGTAAATTTTTTAAATTTCAATGATAGTTATATGAAGCATTAAAGTATTATCGTAGACAGTGTTTTTCCTTTAGATAAAAATCTGTTAGAAAAGTAATATAAAGCAAGATATGTTAGAGAAGAAGATGTTGTAGAAACATTCAGTGTACTTAATCTTGACCACTTCATCAAAACTTTTAAGAATTAATTTAATGATCTTACATCTAATAAAGTAAATAAATATTATGATATGTAAACATTATTGACTATGAGTAGTTTGCGCCTATAGTTGACTCCTCTGTTAAAATGGTTTGTCTAATAATAAGTACTGTAATTAGTTCAAAATATGCTTGTAAAACAACGTTTACTTAGCTATTCGTCAGTGACAGAAATTTTCTGCACTATTGAAAAAGATTATAAATGATTGTCTGTTAACAAATTTGCTTTTTTAAGACAATTAAAAATTAATAATCAACTACTTGTAGCTCAGTTAAAACCAATACAATGTTTAAAGTTTAATGCGAACAATATTGTTACTGTATTAAAATTTCATTTTTAAAATATTGTCAAACAATGAATTAAACATTTTTATTTAAATTTCTTGAATATAGATTGATGTGTATGTTTTTGAAGCATCGTTATTTATATTAATTTGTAAATGATTAAAGTATTAAGCAAACAATTATATGATCTATTAAAAATGGTGTTTATGGTGAATGAATAGCAAGGCGGAAAAGTTGCTGCAAATTTTTTTTTTTAGGACGTTTAAAAAAATCGAAAATTTCCTGTTGACTTCATATAAGCTTGCGTGATACATTAAAATTAAAAGAATTGAATTTGATATATTTTCATACCAGAATATGCCTAAATGTTCACTCTAACTGAAATGTAGACCTGAAAAATTAAATTTTCAGTTAGGAGCCTGGTAGACTATAATGTTTTCGCAGCTACTTTTTCTAAAACCTAATGAGTTGGTATCAATATTTCCTAAAAAGACGCCATTTAACAGCTTCTTTTATTTTTTAATTATATTATATATTTTTTAAAACAATTCCTATTAGAAATAATCTAAGGCTGTAAAAATTTAATTAAACAATGAAAATAATAAATGTGTGACAAAATTTTGTTAAGCATACTGACTTTTAAAGAACGTTATGTAAAAATATTTGGGAGGAGCAAAATATGATTGATGTTACTATTTTGGAATATGTGAATTGTTAAAGAATTCTCCTTCTACATGTTTGTTTCAACCACGAATTGATGGATTCTTAGTTCTCAAAGTATCTTGGAACATTGATGTGCTCACACATTAAACGACTTTTTAAAAAAGCAGTTTTTTATTTAATACTCTTCGCCACTTTTTTTGATGACTTGCCACATTGCGAGTAGTTATTTTCAGGTCTAATAAAAGGGGTTAAAGCAGAGGTCGCCAAAGTGGTCTATATAGACCTCCAGGGGTCTATTTAACAAAAGTGGGGGTCGATCTGAGCCAGGGGGTCGATCCGAATCGGAAGGGTCGATTGGGGGTCAAAGAAAAAGCAGTTCTTACTACGTAAATCACACATATCTAATTGAGTATGTAAAATTTGTGAATTTTTTTTATAATTGACTTAATATCAGTTTCCTTATAGAACATAAATTAATAAACGCATCATCAAAAACGTGGACATCAACCTGCAAGATGAGTTTGCTGAATTATTATCGGATCTTGAAGCAAAGACGCTTTTTAAAAATTTAACAATAAGTAAATTTCGAACAACTATAAATATAATGCAAAAATATGTAAAACTTTATGAAATAGCTCAGCCTTTTTAAGCTAGCTTTTCCAAGTTCCTATATGGTTGAAGCCGGTTTCAGTCACGTAAATTCAATCTTAACTAAGTACAGAAATAAATTAAATGTGGAGTTACGAGGGGATTTAAAATTAAAATTGACCAATTTTGAACCCAATATAGCGAACCTTGCAAAAAAACACCAGGCACACTCATCTCATTGGTTAAGAAGCAATAAATCTGTAGTTACTTTACTTATTATTTCTCCTTACAATAATTAATTATTATTTAATAAATATTGAGGTATTTAAATTTCAAGATTAATATAT